AATTAAGACGTAGATTTTGATCTTCAAGGGATAGAATATAGTATCATGTCTGAAAGATCAGTCAATTCAAGATATGGATAGCGTTTTCATACTTAAGGTATGTGGTACCCTGGATTTTACTCTCGGTACCGTAGAACTCACCTAGCATTTGATAGTTAATGGGTTGTAAAATCAAAATTTATACTTACCTCCAATGTAGTCAAAATCGCGATTTAAAACTTAAAAACTTACGATTTTACGTTTCTAGGTCACTAAAACGCTTCTACACAAAATCACAGTTTTTATAACTTATTTAGTTAAAAACTCCGCTTTAAAACTTAAAAACTTACGATTTTACGCTTCTAGATCACCAAAACGTTTCTACGTAGAAACTCGCTTTTGACTACATTGCTTACCTCTTCTCCATTTTAGTTATTTAGGGGTCGTTTGTAGAACATGAGTTAAGTCGTGGATTCACTGAATCCGTAGTTTTGTAGCAAGTTATGTTTTTTGTTGCTTTTTGTATTGTGAATTTTAGGTTGAGAGATTTCAAATTTCTAAAATCTACGGATGTCAAATCTCTCATAATTAAGAAAATTATATATCTTGATTCGTGAGATTTTTTCCCCTAATTTATCTCTTCCTTTTATTTATTTATTTATCATATTAAATATATTTATAAAAAAGTTCTCAATAATTCTCGAACCAATCTAATTTTTTATTAAGAATAAACATGTTATTTCATATAGAATTAGAAATTTTATTTTCATTGAAATTTGTTGTTGATGTGCTTTTGTGCTTTTTTCATAGGAAGAATTGGTCAATTTCGGTCACTTTTTTCCCCAAAAAAAAAAAGAATGATAATTAATCCATTTTTGTATTTGAAACGTCAAACAAATGCACAACCAAATAGGGTGATTAAATTGTCATGAATTTCACAATGGTAAAAAATTAATGACTTATGAAATTCTCGGATTCGTCGACAGCAAAGTCTCTCTAGATGAGGAGAAGGTTTTCTCGCTTTCAAATTTGACGATCGTGTAATTAAATGTCATATTTATTTCGAAATGGTTTGCCTAATAATACAATGTAATAAAGATGTTTCCTTATATGGAACGACATATAATGATGTAATGACATGTATGAGAGGGTTGTTACCCGCATTTGCAAGAATGACATTTAATTGGGTAACTATCCTACAAAAGGTTTCTTGCTCACTTTCAAAGGTCTCCGCCAGGGAGATCCTCTTCCGTTGGGGTTGTTCGTGCTTATCATGGATGTTTTATCCTATATGATTCCATGCTCAAGGATGACAGGAGGATCGAGGGCTTCTTTATGAACGAAGTGGAAGGTTGCAAGGAGATAACTCACCTCCTCTTTGTAGACTATACTCCAATCTTATGCGATGTGTCTCATTAGCAACTGGTGAATGTTTTAGCTACCCTCTTCTGCTTTCAAACGGCTACAGGCCTTAAGATCAATCTCGATAAATAGTTATGTGCACCGTTGGCGATGTTCCCAAGCCTAACTTTTATGCTACCATTTTCGGGTGCAAGTGGAGTAGAGCCCTTCTATCTATATTGGGGACCCCCTTGGTGCAAAATCTAATTATATTTCCCTTAGGAACCCTGTTAAGGTCAAGTTTCAAAAGAAGCTCGACATTGGAAGGCCAGACATCTCTCCTACGGGGCTCGTCTCACTCTCAAGAAATTTTTCCTTTCTAGTCTTCCTATCCACAACTTCACTCTGTTTATGGCTCCCATATCAGTCTCATCTAGCATAGAACGATTTATGAGAGATTTTATGTGGAGTGGTGCTGGGGTATCTCTAAAATCGCCCTTGGTTCAGTGGAGGATTTGTAAAGCTTCGGTAGATAGTGGTGGCTTTGGTTTATTTGACTTGGAAACCTTTAATAAAGCTCTTATGTCCAACTGGCTTTGGAGATATGCTACTGAAAATCACAGCTGGTGGCAGACACTTATTGAATTCAAGTATCATCACTTATTTTTAGTTTGGCAAACTTTTCGAATCATGAGGGGTTTCTCCAATTTTTCATGCAAATATCTTTAAGGAATACAGAGTTTACTGGAATCTTACTTATATTAATCCCGATGGTGGTGCTCACGTCTTCTCTTGGCACGGTTGTTGGATCCCACTACGTTGGTTGATGCCTTTCCCCGTGTTGCCACTACTGGTGCACACCCAAAGCTCATATCTGTGACTCTTTCATAAGTTCATGTGAGGGTTTCCGTTCTCAACGTTAATCTTTTGGGGGGGGGGGGGCTGTGTTGGAGAGAGAGATATATAATCTTCTTATCTTGCTTAATTCTTGTAATTTTCATCGCGGTGGTATGGCTGGAATATCATAGCATGCTTTGACTTTTGTATTTGATTCAAAATTGATGACTAATTTGTTTAGAATTGGCCTGCAATCTCTCGTTGTCGTACTGGGCATAAAGTCTTGGTAGTAAACTCTCTGGTCATGAAACAGAGGACGAAAGTCCTTAATTTTCCCTTTGGGAATTTGCACCCAAATATCATTATCTTGAAGAAAAAAAAGTAGGAATATTAATTTTTTTCAAAATTTGGATCATATATATGAATTCGCGTGGTTCTTGTTAGTTTACACTTTGAGGCAGTCACTATTATATCGAGGCAAAGAATAATATTAATTTTGGGATTGCTTGGCAGCCACTTCCTTGAAACCTGACATTGAAGAATCCAACTCCTCTTTTAAGTTTGTGATATAGGATATCAACTTGGATTGCATGTTGACTAACCTCCAACTAAAATAACCGTGAAACATTTTTTGTTTTTGTTTCACAATGGATATCAGATTAACTTATAAAACATGTAATAAGCTCAATCTTGATGCCCGAGTGTGTGATTAAAGAGAATCTTGACATATATAACCATGAATATTATATTGGTAGTAAAATTTAGAAAGTAAACATAGAAGCGAAGATTGAAGAATTGTAGCACTTAAATACAATTTAATCATCCCACAATCATGAATATACATAAACTTAAAAGTTAATTTCTACAACCAATTCATAATAACATGTTATTACGGAGGCAATTGCAATTGGGTAGTGAGTAGGAAAAAGAAACTAAATTTAGTAAAGCATCGACAACATTTTGAATAAGGACTTGCGAATGAAAGTAAAAGACCAGCCATAATGACAGTCATCTTAGAAGAAATAATACATGCAATAATTCATAAGCTAATACATAATCGACAAGGAAGGGTTGGATGTGTTGGGTGGAAATAGTAGGGTGTCTCTAATCCATGAATTATATAGTAGTCGGATGAGAGTTAGTTGTTGTTTAGGATTATGTATCCCGCCTTCTCTATACTATTCTCTGTAGCAATTGTGGCTACTTAATTGCAAAGTTACGGTAAGTGTAGTAGGAATGCAATTGCAAGGTAATACTATTTTTATTTTATATTCCTATTTAATTAAGTAATTTCACTATCTGCGTCTTATAAACTTTGGAAATAAATTGATTAACTAAGCTCTCAAAATTTTAATTTTTTGTCTTATTCACTTAATTTAGGCTTTAAAGATTCTTTTTTCTTCTTCAGATTTCTTGAATATAAGAACCAAAGATTATTTTATTCATTTAATTTTGGATGGTTAAAGATAAACCTAATGGTTTTTAAGGGTTTGACATGAAACCAGATGAATCACTCCGGTTTAACTGATCCACTGGTATACTATTTTAATCACAAAAAATTAAGAAAAAAAGTACGTGAACTGAAACCATCAAACGTCAATCACTAATTCTATTTATGTTTCATTTTTTTCATTTGTCAGCTTTCTTATCGGATTTATCAGGTTCACTATGGATTGTCACTCTTATTGTTGACTTGAATTTAATAAAAAAATTATGATTACTTTTGTGAGATAGTTTGAATGCTTTGTTAGAACTTTTTGGTGATAGATGATATGAATTTGAAATCTTTTATGGGTAGTGATATATTCACTCATAACTTAGAGTATTATATATGTTATTTTATATTATAGCACATGAACGATTCTATTAACGATTAACTAAAAGTTCTATAACAATTAATCGTTAAAGTATAAAACACTAACTTTTCCGATTCAGCATTCAGTCCGACTTTAACAATATTGATTTTCTTGTACCATGCACTTCGCAAGTATAAAGCACTAACTTCGCAAGTGAACTTACCCATGCATAATTATTAGTCAGATTTCCATTGTTTAGTTAAATAAGCTTTTTTTTTACGAAATTAGTTAGTTAGTTAAAGAAGCTGGAAATAAATAGCCGGCCCATATAAATCAAACCATTTCTATGCTCTAAGGCCCACGAGAACTAAATAGGAAATTACCGAAGACCCCCTCCGTGGTGTGCGCAGGAACGGGAAAAGTGAAATTAAGGTAGGGGTTGTTTGGATGCAGTAAAATATTGAGGGAATTGTGCTAAATTCCCACACAATGCAGCAATTAAAAGAAATTCCCATGTTTGGATGGGCCAAGTGGGTATGGTAATTGACCCATGTAATTTGGGCCACTTTTCCACCAACGTTGCAATTCAAAAACCGGCACCCCCACCCATGTATTTTACATTCCCACGTTCTCGGTACTTTTTCTTACAATTATGACCCTGCTATTTCATTGTAAACCCATAATTGTCCTCTTGTTGCTTTAGGTTTTAATTGTGCAGACGAGTTCATATATCCTTCTCTCTTTCGCGTGTTCTTTGCTTTGCTTCTCTGTGGCGACGAGCAGAAGAGGTTGGATCAGAAGTTGGAAAGGTTGGATCAAGACAGCGGCGACGAGCAGGAGAGGTTGGAAAGCGACGCTTCTATTTCAGGTAAACTTTATCCCCTTTGGATTTTGTCGTTCAGAACGTTGGGTGTGTATGTTAGGGTTATCTCTAACATATTGCTGCTCCTACAGCAAACGATCTGATGAATGTCAAGTCAAGTTTTTCAATATGTTTTTATTAAAGACAAAACACTTATTATTGAGTTTTGTTTTTGGCCGATAAGGATGTCAAGACTATCGATTTTGAGCCCACGGCGTAGGAGACAAGTGGTTGCGGCAATTAGCTCTTTCATCAACCTTTTAATAATTTATGTAAGCCTAGGACAGGAACTAACCCAGCTTATTCAAGCAAGAAATGCAAACCGTAGACTTGCTAGGCAACCAATGGATAGCTACACAGTGAGGCATTACGATAGGCAAAGACATCTAGATCGTAGGATAAGAAGGTGTGATACTATATGTTTTTCCCTGGTTAGAATGGATCGAGCGTTGTTCAATAGGTTCTGTGAGGTTCTTGCTGTTAATGGACGGTTGAGAAGAACTAGAGATGTAAACATAGATGAAATGGTCTACACGTTTCTGTGCACAATTTCACACAACGAGAAGAACAGGACATTGGCAGTGAACTTACTACGATCTGGGGAGACCATATCGAGATCATTTCATCGGGTTTTGAGGGCTGTCATTAGACTCAATAGTCTCTTGATGAAGAAGCCTATTCCCATCGCTGACAACAGCAACGACTATAGGTGGAAACACTTTAAGGTTCTGATTGCTTCATTATGAGATTTTAATACCCTGCCCTTAGTTTTTTCATTGGATTAAGACGTACAAAAGAATATAATGTGTCAATTTCCTGTTTGCGTAGAATTGTCTTGGTGCTTTAGATGGAACACATGTGGACGTGCGTCCTAGAAGAGAGGACCAAACTAGGTTCAGGGATAGGACGAACCATCTTTCTATGAATGTGCTTGGCGTATGCACTCCTGATTTGGAGTTCATATATTGCTTGTCGGGTTGGGAAGGTTCAGCCCATGATGCAAGGGTTCTTCAAGATGCCCTTACTAGGCCTAATGGCCTTAGTGTGCCTGAAGGTAAAAGGATGTATTCAAATCTTTTGAAGTTAACTTAAAGATAATAAATTTTTGCAACTTTTCTTTAACTCACAGATTGTCTATTTCATGAAGGGTGTTACTATTTGTGTGATGGTGGCTATGGGAATAGTACTGGCTTCTTAACCCCTTATCGTGGGCAGAAATACCATCTTAAAGAGTGGGGACCAAGACGACCATCTATAGCTGAAGAGTATTATAATATGAAGCATGCGTCGGCTAGGAATGTGATAGAGCGGATTTTTGGTATTTTAAAAATGCGGTGGGCTATTCTTAGGGATTCTAGCTGGTTCTCCCCTAGTGATATGGCTCGTATTGTTGTTGCTTGCACCATAATCCACAATTTCATTAAGAAGGAACGTGGGGCTGACAGATTTGAAAGGGAATTTGTTGTTGTTGTTTTTGGATGTAAAGTGCAGCAGCATGTATTAATGACAATGATGGAATTTGTAGCTCCAAGTTAGTTGGCATGTAATGAATGGTAGTTTGATAGTTGCCAACATCAGTTTTTTTTGCTGTAACAGCGGCAACCCCATAGCAGTTTAACAAAAACCAGCAACGCTAATTAGCAGTAGGCTATGAATCGGCAGTGTGCTTTTCGAGAAGCAAGGTTAGAAGTTAGCATCTAAAAGTTAGTAGTACATCAACAAATCCAGTTAAATTCAGTTTATTGCTTCAGGATTCAGTTAAAGCAGCTTCAAATAAAACTTGATTACAATGAAAACCAAAAGTTGCATCAGTTAATTACACCCATTCACTTATTCATTACAACTCTAAACTTTCAACTACTTTAACAAGGTTCAACCTTTTACATTCAACCAAACTAAAGACATCATCACTCATAGAAGCCAAGATACTTCTCCACTCGAGACAATCTTCTTTCCATTGCCGCTACAACTTTGGAGTCCAATGAGACAGTACTCGTGTTGTTCGAACTACTTGAACTTGTTGGAATGACCAATGAACCATCCAGTTCACCGCTAAGTTTTAGAACAAGGGAACTCTTCTCAACCTCCAGCTCTTGAACTTTAATCTGCAAATTGGCAATCAACTTGTACAATTCATCTTCTTTGCCACTCATATCAGTAGCAGCACACCATTCGAACAAGTCACAATATCCCTGTAAGCCAAAACACACCATAAATTCGTACAGCCTTTCAAAATCAACAACCAAAATCTGCTTCTCTGATTGACATCAATCTATATAGACATGTATGTCACAATCTTCACCTAATTCAAACAAACGAAATAGCAGTTAGGAGTCTTACACTTGATGGGTATTTCGGGCAAGAATAGAATTTTCGATTTGGGTTCTTTGGGGTCTTCGAAGTCCGAACAGCAGCTATTTTCCCACACCCACACAATTTTTCCTTCCTTTCGTTAGTGTCCGCCATCGACCAGTCAACCTTGCTGGAGACGCGATGGCCTTCTTTCTTCACTGCTGCTGCCTTTGTAGAACGAAGTTGTGGTAGTTTCTCGACGGGGAGGAAGCTGCAGGGGAAGACGAGTAGACAGTAAAAGAGCTTTGGGGGAGGGGCGGAGGAACAGTTGAGCAAATGATATGGGTCTTCGTGGGTAGAGGGCAAAGCAAGAGAAGAGGGGAACCTTTTTCCATTCACTTTTGAGGATATTGTTGTACTTTCACCCAAAAAGTATAAATACCACACCAGATTTCACACTCAATCAAACCATAGCCAAACGTAGGAATTTTGATCCAATTTCAAAAGCCAATTGCTAGGTTTTACAAACTGTGGTAATTTGAGTTAATTACCACCTTTGTAGATTTCCACATCCAAACGACCCCGTAGTGTTGGAGGAGAAACTCCATTATGTATTGTTTGATCCTAAGAACAGGAAAAGTAAATCATCAAACAAATTTGCTTGACCATTAAGGTCCATCCGCAGAAGATCTTGTTTGTATCTGCTGCAATCCCCTCCACCGTGGAAGACGTATATTGCATTACTATATATGTGAACCCAAACAAACGGTCCCACTTTTGAAATCAAAGACTGAACAAATATTAAAAAACAAAAGGGAAAATAAAGGGTGCGTTTGGATACAATGATTTGGATTTGGTATTTGTGATTTGGATTTCCAAATAGCAAATCATGTGTTTGGATATTAATTACATTTGGTATTTGGATTTATGTCAAATTCATGGGGTGATTTCCAAATACATGTCTAGTGTATTTTTTGTCAACTTCAAATACATTTCAACAACTAGTGATTTGAAATACCTCCTAACAAAAGGATGGACCTATTTGTAAAATATTAAAAGTTTAGGTACTATAGTGTGAGGCAAAACATATAAAGGTACCAAAATGTAATTTTACCATCAAAATTTCAGGACCTTTTTGTAAAATTTTAAAAGTTTAGGTACTAAATTGTAAGAAAAAATAATTTTGGGTACCAAACTGTAATTTACCAAAATTTGTAGTAAGTGACCAGAAAATTAAAAATTGAAATTGAAAATCATAAAATACAAAATACAAACAAATTACAAATGAGTATCCAAACAATGAATTTGAATTACATGTATTTCAAATACTAATATTTCGAATACATCCATTTCAAATGCTAATATTTCAAATACCTTGCATTTAAAATCCACTTATCCAAACGCACCCCAAGAGAAAAGAAGACCTACCTCAAAAGAGCTGAAAACCTTCTTTTGTAATCACTCATCAATAGGGCTGCAAATGAGCCGAGCTTGCAAAGCTCGTTGGGGCACATTTTTTTAATTTATTATTGTATTAATTGTTGTAATGTTTTTCAATTTAAAATAATTAGTCTCTTTCATTGGCTCTGATACCAAAGTTGAAATGATTCTCATAGGATTTGATACCAAATTGATACCAAAGTTGAAATGATTCTCATAGAATTTGATACCAAAGTTGAAATGATTCTCATAGAATTTGATACCAAATTGACATGATTCTCGTAAAGATGTTGACCGAAGAATCTGATACTAACAAATTGATATATGCATGGTTTTTTCACGTAACTTTGCTTTCTTCAGTTTTTGTTCATTCTTCATGGAAGGAAAAAGTGGCATGATTACAACCAATACAATTTTGTATTTTATAAGGATATTTTTCAGTTTTTCCTAACTGAGCTTTAACTATTCATTAATTTTTGTTTTATCTTAGTTAAACTAGTTATTATATCGGTAATTAATTCAGTTTTGGATACGGCTTCTTCCAATGTTTCTGAATTTCCTATACACATTTGTTCTTCTACTATATCTGATATGAAGTGAGATAATTCTAATGTAACTGTATTAATGTCGGTTACTGATGTGAGGTCTAATGCATCTATTCCATCTATCAATTTATTTATATAATAACTGTTAGGCATTTTTACAATTTTTCACTTATTTCTACGATTAGCTCTTGTAACTTTTTTATTTCACTAGTATTATCATTTTGATGAAGTATAGTTATGTTTTTTATTTCTTGATTTTCTTCTTTCTCTTTTTCCTTTTTCTTATCGGTTAGTCTCATGGAAGCGCTTCTTCCATCTACACTTATTCTTGGATAATCATAATTTGATTTTATTATTTTTAGAGGCGATTCTAGTTGGATTAGTGGTTTGAATAAATCTTCTATGGTGATAGCTTCTTTATCCTTAAATGCTAGACTATGATGACTATTAGTTAGTGCATAATTTATCTGGTATGTTACTGAAAAGGGGTTACTGTTTTCTTTCATGAAATTTTTTCTTTTTAGCTCATACTTTATAATAATGGAAGAGTCAAGATTCCCATCTGTTAAACTTAATCCTTGTTGTAGATTAATATCAAATTTGATTATTCCTAATCCTAGATTTCCCTTTCCTTTTGCAATAATACTTTCTTCTTTGTTAATGAGCCGATCATCCCTTATTTCTAGTTCTATGGGTGCAGTTATCCCTGTTTTCATAGTAGATTTTAGAATGATTTGTATCGTGCTGATATGAATGTAAGCTATTTTATTTCTTTCTTCCGGTTGTAACTTGGATAATCTTTTCCTAATTTGTTCCCTATTTATTATTTGAATTAGGAAATCCCCTTTAGTTTGCTCTATTGGTACTGCCGTTTCTCCTATCATTTTTCCATATTTGATTATGTTTTTTCTATCAAATAGTTTGGATAAAAAAGATTTAGTAATAAAATTTTGCGTTTCTGATAGGGTAAAATTAGTTTGTTCCTTAATTTTCTTGACATCTATTATTCCATCTAGAAAATAGTTGTCTTCTTCATTTTTACTTAAATAATCAAAATCACTGTTACTGCTACTAGGGTTTTTTGACATACGTGATTATGGCTTAGGTTGAATGTTGCAATTTCTTGCTGTTGAATGTCTTCATGGTGATGTAGTATGAGAGAGGCTGATTTGTGATGATCGTTGCAATGGTGTTGGAGAATTCTTTTGTGGTGTTAATGGTTGGTGTATGGTTTTTTACGAATGGGTGATAGTGGATACGAACGTCTCCAGAGTATGACCTCAAACGTTCTGTGCCAAAGCACCAAGACTTCACTTAGTCTTTTTGAGAGAGAAATCTCAAACTTTTATTCTGCTCCCCCCTTATGAGGTTTTAGGTTACATATTTATAGTGCAGGACCTAGCCTGATTACATATGCTATTACATCATTCTCCACTTGAGAAAAGAAAAACAGACAAGAAATAAAAGCAAACCAGACACTCCTTCACACGTTTTTTCCTACATTATTGTTCAGATAAAATGGAATCTTTAGCTTTTTCTTGATGGATGATGACTTGCTGAATTGTCCACATAGTTCTGTCTGGATTACACCTCATTTGCTCCATTATTGCTGCTAGTGGAGGTAGTCATGTCTGCGGCACAGTGTGTACATATGTGGTCCTCGTGTAACTGCAATAATTCACATAGTTGCTGTTTTTGGTCCGCCGTTAGTGGTGCTAACGTTCCTTCTAGATTGATGAAGTCTTAGGCTAAATCTGTAATGAATCCCCATTCTTCTGCTGTAATCTGGTTTTTAGAATTACTGATGATGATCTTGTTGGTGCTGGTATAATTGACCTTAATATTGTCTGTTGGGTTAAGATAATATAAGGCTTGACTTACTGCATATAGTGATTTGACTTGATAGTCTTCTGGTATCCTGGCTACTTCCAGTTCATCTCTGGTTGGATAATTACCATTAGATACTCCCATCTTGATGATTGCTTTTGATGGAACGACTAGTTCTTCTTTGTTGAATACTGGGTAACTGGATGTATACCTTAGATAGATTTCTCTACCTTTGGCGAAAGAGTCTGCATACCTTTTTACCACTGTTTTGAATTTTGTTGGAAATTCATCGAAGATCTGGGTCTTCTGGGTATATATGGTATCAATTAATCCATATTGATGAAGAGCAAATAGTGTTGTTGGTGCGATTTTGTCTGTGATGATGACTGCTCTTGGTCCTCCCTTGAAGGTTGGGTAGAATCCCATGGTGGT